ATTTTCATTTTAATGGTTGTATTGAATGTCTTCAAATCCACAATTTAAAGGATCTTGATGCAACTGTTCTTTTGAATAATAAATAAAGTGTAACTGAAAAGAACTCCCTGTGTTATGTGGAAGGATGATCCTCATGTAGCTTTCTGTATTTTATATGTGGATGAATATTAGTTATCGCCTATTATTACGCTGTGATCTTGGAGTCATTTTTGACCAGGATACGTCCTCCAGTCCACATGTTAAAACAAATATGTAGCACTGATTTCTTTCATCTGATTACTGAGCGATGCTAGAAACTAGTTCATGCTTTTGTTAATTCAAGGCATGGCTATTTTCATTCTTTAGCATCAAGCTCTTTTAAAAGCTTTCAGTTAATCAAAAATGTCATGGCAGAAGTACTAATCGTGTTGAAAAAGGGAGGCCTTATTTCTCCCAATCTCCATTTCTCTTAATTTGCAAAGTTAAGACTGGATCAGGTAACTGTTAGCTGTGTTGCTTTATATTTGAAATGCCAGATGAAGAGGTGGAAAAACTATATGGATCACCAAGCCACCTAATCTGCTCAGTGAATTTTGTTCCAATGAAAAGGAGTCAAACAATACCAGTGGCAATAAAACCTTTTTCATCTCTTTCAACTTACTGTGGCTTATGTGTTTCATAGCCTGCACAATGGTGTTCAAAGAGAGAACCGAGGTATGATGACAGTGACTTTTCAACCTATCCTGAAAATAATCGAGCCTTGGATGGATCTCAGGCAGGGGAATTTTTAATAGCAGTTCATTTTTCATTTTGATCTCTTGAGTTTATTTAATAGTATCGCATTGCTGTTTGCTCTTGCTCTGATTAATGTATTTACAATATTAATCAAGTGAAAACAATAAATATTAAACAAATTAAATGGTTATAATTTCAGGCATTGACATTGACAGCACACACGGTTTCAACCGTATGACCTGGAATGTAACACATGATTGTTTTTAATGGTAGACCCTCACAAATACTTCACTGAAATCAGCTAATACCTTTATCCCTTGAAAAGATGTAAGCCTAATACAGGTTAAGACAAGAATGCTACAGAACGTAACATCAAAATATTGTTGCACTGCTTACAGTTCTACATCAGATTGATGATCATGACTTCCTCTGTAAAACTGCCGCTGGATGCTTACATGTGCCATAAATTTGTGACTTAAATTAATTGTTTTTTCTGATTCTAACAAGCTGTGCCTGCCCAGTTAGTACCTTACCCACAGCTGAATATTGAATATCACCTCTTAGTTTGCAACCATGCAATAAATTGCACAGGGTTGCAAGATGGCAGATTGGGTAACTCATGTCGAAATAAACTGACTGTGTTTAGAAAAGTTTGTAGTCAACATTTGTAGATTACCCATAAAACTAACCACACCCATATGGGGATTATGTTCACACTAAAGTACCTGTAAACTGGTTGAAAATTTAATGACTCATAATAATTTTTAAATGCAAGGACATTAAAACTAAATGGGGGGAATGGAGACAGCTGGAGTACCTGGAGAGAACCCACACAGACACAGGGAGAAAAATGAGCAGTTAACAGTAGTGAAGGAAAACATGGTGACGTACAGTGGGAATAAAATTAAAGCTTGGTTACAATGGTGAACTTGTTTCTACACTACAGGTGATAGAAACAGGTGAGCACCCAGAGCTCCACCCACATGGGCGGACACAGTAAACCACAGGATTCAAGCAGAATAATACCAGATACACATGCATCATGACAATATTATTGCAAAATGATGATTTGTGGTCTAGATGCTAAAGCCATTTACTTTACAGCTCTATTTGCTGCATTTTTCATATGATGTGAAGTTCAAGATAATAATACATAATTAATGTAGAGCTTCAATCAATGTCCGAAACAACTGAATTCTATCAGTGAACACATTATTGTACTCTGACAACTACAGCACTGTTTTGTATTTGGTGGATAACACTGTCTGTTCCAGTACTGATTTCTCTTCTTGTTTAGCATCTGTGGGTGGTGCATGTAAATATTGTGTACATGCAGAATATATCAGTTATAGAGTGATAAATTTGATCCTGAGAAACTTTTCAATCCATACCACAAGATTTTGGAAAACTAAAGAAACTAAATTTGCTTCATTAATATGACAACATGTAAACACCATTAGTTTTTCCACATTTCACACCTATAAAATACAACGGCAAGTGTTAACAAATGACTATATTAAAATTATTTTCAAATAAAAGCAATCGTGGCTAGAAGGAGAAGCTTGCATCAAAATGTAAGCAGAAATTAGACATTTCATATTCTACATCTTGAAAGATTACCCAATGTGCACTTTTTAATGTTTTCTTCAGTAAATTATTTAAAAAATCAAAGATGAAACATTCACCGTACCAATTCTTCTTTTATGTTGCTCTATGTAATAGATATACTGGTGCAGTTTTGTTGTTGAAACTAGAATGTATCCCATGATGTTCATGCTTAAAGCTAGTTGGCCTGAAACTTGGAAAATATTGATGATATGAATATGAATAAAACGTTTTTGCTTTGGCTTCAGTTAAACATACTGTAATAAGATGTCTGACCTGATTTTTATTTCCAAAGACCCCCTGCTTGATGGTTAGCCAGTTAAATTGCAATAGTAAAAGGTCTCATTTTGTGTAACACCTTTTTTTGAAAAGAAAAATTGGGAGCGAGTTGGGCTTCTGTTTCTTGTCTGTGGACTCTGCTGGGGCTGGGAAATCCAACCTAGCAATGAGTGGTCAACCTAACCAGACCAAATATTACACAACACCAAATCCACATTTTAAGATCTGGTATGTTTTCTGTTCTTTACGTGTAGAGCAGATATTCACTGAATACATATCGAGAAATGCTGTATGTAAGAGGTTGACTTTGCATTGCATCTCGCTCACACAAATTGTACCCTACAACCCTACTCAACCCCTCCTACATGTCACCATCACAAAGCATTACTGATGTTTCAAAGAGGAGGGGTGGCAGGAAGTGGTCAGTGTGAGATTTTTTTAATTTAGGAAAGAAGGAGAAGTCAAGAGCTTACTCAAAGAGAATCGCTGGGTTTCTGTCAATTGGCTTGGTGCTCTGAGGGCAGTCCATACCCTCCACCAATGGAACCTCTCCTAGCTGTTCTACTCCAAAAGGTGGAGTATATTATGTGACATGCATGAACTTGACAACTTTGCAGTCACAACGCTTGATCCCACAAAAGATTTCTCACATATTTTGCATGTGGCAGTTCACATGCAAAACACTACACTACACTACACTACACTAAACATCCAAAAGCCACAGCACCAACCCCCCACTTCAGCCTGCCGCCAGTCCTGCTGACCCATTTAAGAAATATAGCTCTGAAGCAATGAACCACATGAAGCAAGTCTTAATCATCCACTGCAACTCCAAAAAAAGAAAAAGAAATTCAACAGACTCTCATCTCCTTTAATTTCAAGTAGAGAGAAAAGATGCTTTTTTAAACTGTTAAACAACAGACAATGAGCTCAATAATGATATGAATACATCATTTGAAAAGAGGCAGCTTCTGAGCTGTTTGTGAATGTACGCATAAAACAAATATTCAAACACTTCTGGGCTACACAGTCAGGTTTTCAGGCTTTTACACTCACAGAAAGGGTTGATATTGAGCACTGAGCCTCTGAGATACTTTCATGTAGAAAGTGCAATTAGGGATGTGCGACATGACCAAAATCTCATATCCCGATATGAGACATTTATTGTCCTGACATTTTCTGTAAATTGTGTGAATCTCGGGCAACTCGACTTGAGTGAAGTGTTTCAGCTGGGCGTCATTTACCTGGAGTGTTTGGACCAATGCGGCCGCCATGTTCTTTGTGAGTATAACACGGTTTGCCTTCTGTTTGGAGCTATCTGGCTCTGCCTCATCTTCACTGGCCATGCCGGTATTCTCTGTGCCTGCATCCACGTGGTACCTGTAAGTGCCATTTATACTTACTTCATGTTTTAATTTGAAGTAATTTGTTCGATGCATATTCTACAATTTAATGTTTGACAATAATCCATTTTGTCATCATTTCAGTTTATTTTAAAGAATCTCAACAGGATCTTCAGCTTTATTGTGAAAGGTTCATGTGGAAAATAAACAAGCGGGCGGCAGAGCTACGCGCTGGGTTTACCATTGTTGTTGCTAACAAACCAATGCATAAAAACAGTCGCTTATCCGTCTGTACTGTGGTTATTTTAAATATAAAAAAAGAGAGCTTTAAGAAAATAATGTAACCACTACAGTGACCATCAAAACGATGAAAAAATATTGCCCTTAAACAATTTTGCGACATCACGAAACAAATGATAGCGTATAATATGAAACGATAATGTTTTCATATCGTTATCCGATATATATCGTCATATCGAACAGTCCTAAGTGCAATTAGCAGTTTTACAAAATAGCAATAAAAAATTGTCCTCCAAAGTAGTGAATTTTTTTTATTTTTGTTAAGATACAAATACACAAAGGTTTTTTTTTCCCATTTACAGAGTACAACATGCACAAACAATGGATAACACATAGTTAAAAAAATGTTACAAAGTCTACCACTGAATTCATACCTATTTTTACCTAATTTTTTAATAAACTGTAATAGCTTATTTTTCTGTAGCTGACTGGTTTACTTCATTTTGTCTAACTTCCACTAAAACTATCACTGAAATTCACTGAAAGTATAATTTTCTTATTGCAAAAAGACTTTTTCAAACATGCAGTAATACAAATATTGTGTAAGATTATGAGCCTTAAACAAATACTGTTCATTTAAATTTTTAAAACATGTGCTCTACACAGCATATCGGACATTTTTTCAGTAAACATTTTGTATTATCATATGCAACATACATACAATCCAAGAGTAGCTCAAACAGACTTCATTTTCCTTGCAGATCTTTAAAAATATTAAAATACATAATTGTATATGCAATTTACTATTTTAATGTGTCACATTTCATTAAGATTTGTTGTAAAATTTCAATATAGTGCAATTACAGGTTGACAAAAATGATGAAAATAGAAGTTCAAAGCCCAAAACAAAAAAGTCTTTGAGAGTGCACACATTGTCTTGTGAACTGTTAACTGCAGCATGTATTGGATGTTCTACAGCATGCTCTCTCATCCTCTACAGCATCTGTAGGTGGTGCACAAAGTAATTCCTCCAATGACGAGGAGTGCTCCAGATACCCATCCCAAATATATAGAAGCTCCCAGCTCTCCTTGTCTTCCTGTTGTGGCCACAGGATTAAAAAACCCTGTGATGATGCTGTAAGCTGACCAAGTGACAGGAATAATACACACAATCCCTGCTATAATAAACACCACACCTCCTGCAATGCCGGCATTGGATTTGGTCAGTTGGTCATAATCAAAGAAAGAAGTGCATCGAGCTCCAACCACTGTGAGCCCGATGGCCACCACGCTGACAGCAATAGACACGCAGATTAGAGCCCTGGAGGCTTGCAGCTCTTGTGGTAAAGCCAAAATTGAGTCATAGTTTTTGCATTGTGACTGACCCGTGCTCTGGAACACACAGTTCATCCATAAGCCTTCCCAAAACACCTGAGCAGTGATGATGTTTGACTGTATAAATGCCGACACCTTCCACATGGGCAGCGCACAGATGAGGATGGTGCCAAGAAAACCGAGGATTGCCAAACACACACCAACAATCTGAGTCTTCATGTTTTCAGAAAATAAAGTCTGTATTTAAAGTTAAAAAAAAAAAAAACCACATCAAAATCAACCTCCAGTTGAGTTTAAGATCATTTTTACTTCCAGCTTTCAGTTGTCTGTAAATGCTGCTGGTTGGGTTTTGCTTTGTTGTTTTGCTCCTCAGGTATGAGAAAGGCAACAGGGAGGGGACTCGATGTTCTGTGGCAAGTTTCCTGTTTCTCTTGATTCCTGCTTGACCTGAAAAACTAGTAGAAGGCCATTAACAGAAGCAATCGTGTATAAAAACTTGCTTTGTCATTACAAAGAATAAACAGATTGCTCATTTAAACCAGCAATATAGAGACTGCAGATTTCATGAGGTATACTTCTTGTATTTTAAAGTACTTTCACATATTACCAGAATGCATGAAAAACTAGACCAGTATCAAATTACTGATGCATTTTTATGAATATTTCTTGGCACTTAAATGTTTTAAACTTACTAAATAAACAAAGCCTATGTTAGCTCATGACAAGGTAAAATGATCCATTTGGGACTTTATGCACCAATCACACCTTATGCACAAAATTCAAACCTATAGCCACAAAACCGTCATTACATGACATGTTACCTAGCAACCAGCAATTAAAAGCAGACCAAACACTTCAGCATCAAACACCAGCTGTATGTCAGGCCAGATAGATTTTTAGCTTATTAGCTTATTTTGTACTACTGCCCCCCCAAATACTATATCAATTCAAGTGCACCTCATGAATTTATAGCGCATTTTTGCTGATTCTGGATTGGCATTTTTGTTGCCTTTTAGTTTAAATTCTGCAAGACAATTTGCATGCAGTTAGCTGCCTTCTCTAAATTCCCAGAGTTTGCGTTTTAGTTGTGAGCTGGAGACTAAAGTCTACCATGTTTGCTAGAAAGTGCTGTCTACAAAAGCAGCCTTTTAGCTTTTACTCATTGAAACCCTCCACTAGAGTAAAGTTTATAAAAATATTAATAAATTAAAAAAAAATAAAAAAAAATAAAAAATACCAAAAGCCTATGGGGAGTACAGAACTAGAGGGGGTAACACAATTAGCATTCTGGACCAAACCATCTGAGAACATAAAAAAAAAAAAAAAAAAAAAAAAAAAAGCACAACCATAGTCAAGTTAGTGAAAAGTTTTATTAAATCAAAATTACAGTAAAAACACCTAAATATTTAGTCCATAAAAAACAGCCTAGTCCATTTCTCTTGAGGGTCAAAGTCTACAGCCATTCCAACCTCTTGCAGACATTTAAACATATGCTCCACCACCTGTGGCAGAGCGTGGAGCAGAGTATTTGACAGAGTATCCACCATCTTTAGGCTGCTTGCACTGACAACAAAGGAGTGCACCTCCAATGATCAGGAGTCCAGATGAAGCCCAGCCAATGAACAGCGATGCTCCAAGCTCTCTCCTCTGTCCGTCAGACATGATTGGGTTGTAGAAGTTCCTGATGACCTCATTAGCAGACCAGGATACAGGGATGAGGCACAGGATGCCACCAACAATGAACACCACGCCCGCAGCAATGGCCACCTTACTCTTGGCAGTCTCCTCTTCAATGCAGTTGGTGCACTTTCCGCCTGCGATGGCAAGCAGGAGTCCCATTAGGGTGACCAAGATGGAGATCACAACCAGAGCACGGGCTGCCTGCAGGTCTTGAGGAAGAGCGAGCATGGAATCGTAGACCTTGCACTGCATCTGGCCAGTGCTCTGCATCACACAGTTCATCCAGAGGCCCTCCCAGAAAACTTGTGCTGTCACAATGTTGTTTCCAATGAAAGCAGACACCTTCCACAATGGCAGAGCACAGGTAATTATGTCTCCAAAAAAGCCAATCACTGCCAAAATGATGCCCAAGATCTGAAGTCCTGCAGATGCCATAATGTCTCTTCTGGCGCAACAGAGAGCTGTGAGGAAGCATCAACTGGAAACACAACAAGACACATGACTGCAGCCCTCAACTGCAGCTTTTATATCCACATGGGAGGCTCGTGGTTTCTCCTGATTGGTTATTCAGAAGTGTTCAAAGTGAAAACACCTGTGGTCATTAGGACTGACCTCCTGCCCAGTGATAGCTGGCATATGTTCCAGATCCCCTCCAACCCTTAAATGTATAAGCCAATAAGAAAATGGATGAATGTTTGCAAAAGTGCTGTGAAAACTGAAATGAAAAGAGTGTTTAGAATAAAAATCTTCCACCTAAATTAATGTCTTTTTCATTTGTTATTTTTTTGTGAGGCTATGAATTCACTCAGACAAAAGTAGCAGTTTTGCCAAGAACATAACAATGAGAAGAAGAGTGATTTTAAAGATTGCATTTTAACATTGACTTTAGTATCTCCTGTAACAATATGAGATCATAATGATTGCTTTTGGTTTTACATCTGATTTCATTTTCTTTTACCAGTGCAGCAATCAAGCTGAGTGAGTCCACCTGTGGTAATTAGGTGTGAGGCATTGGCTTGGGGAAAAAACAAAAGAAACAGACAGTATTAAATTATACATGCACCACATTGGTTGTTTCTCAACCTGTGATCCTCCTTGGTATGGTTGGATTCTGTTTTAATGAGCCTATCTTATCAGGTAATGGGTTTTGATAGTTTCTGTTTTCAGTAAGTTTGATTTGGTTTGATTTTGATATTTTTAACCAAATCAAACTTACTACTTTTTTATGCTTGTGGGATTTCTTACTTTCTTTCTCCAGAGGCAACAAAAATGTTTACCCTGCTTTAGAGTCGCTGCTCAGACATTTGAATTTTTTTTATTAAACCTAACATGATGTGGTTGGGTTTGTGCATCATTCCATATATTTAAAATTAATTTAAAAAAAAATTCCCCCTTGATTTGCACTGTTAAAGCTTCTTTTCTTTCTCTGGGCTCTGTTTGGGGACAAGTGGGCCTCTTTGTTGTCAAGAAAACCTCTGAACTCAAAGGGAGCGTGATTGATGCAGTGGAGCCAGAGCCCACCCAGAGGAGGGCTGTATTCTGGGGGGATTTGTAGGTCATATAAAACTTCTGCTGAGAGTGGACTTTTATTTGGAAACCCTGCAAAGAACTGACTTGTCTAAAAAAGGGGGAAAAAGCTGTTATGGCTTCTTTAGGGTTGCAGATTCTGGGTGTTGGGTTGGCTGTGCTGGGATGGATTGGAAACATACTGATCTGCATGCTGCCCTTGTGGAAGGTATCTGCTTTCATTGGAAATAACATTGTGGTGGCTCAAACCATTTGGGAAGGACTCTGGATGAGCTGTGTGGTGCAAAGCACCGGCCAGATGCAGTGCAAGGTCTACGATTCCCTGTTGGCCCTGCCTCCAGACCTCCAGGCAGCTCGAGCCATGATCGTCATCTCCATCCTGTTTTCTTTGTTTGGCCTGCTGCTTTCTGTGGTTGGAGGTAAATGCACCACCTGTGTTGGGGACAAAATGGCAAAAGCCAGAGTTGCCATCTCTGCAGGCTTTTTCTTCATCCTGAGTGGGGCTCTGTGTCTTGTGACTGTGTCGCTGCCTGCTAATACCATCATAAAGGACTTTTACAACCCCATGGTTCCAGATGCTCAGAGGAGAGAGCTGGGTGCCTGTTTGTACGTGGGCTGGGGCGCAGCAGGGTTACTACTGATTGGTGGTTCACTTCTCTGTTGTCAGTGCCCATCAGGAGACAACCGCTACAGTGGTGCGAAGTACTCGGCACCTAAATCAACAACACCCGGCAAGGAATTTGTCTAAGATTGCATTGCATGACATGAGAAGTGGATGAACATGACCTCTTTCACAAAGAGTACAAACCTGTTTCTTATCACAGTGTATGCATAGTGCAGGTGTGACTAACACTATGGCCTTTTGTCTGTCAAAGTGTGTGTGATGTTAGAGTACTGCAGGATTGGTGTGCTGGGTTTTTTTTTTTTCTAACTCTTATATTAAAGTTCTTTAAGTGATTTTAACCAATAAACAGTTTATTGCCACATGTAATTTTTTAATTGTAGTTATTCTGCTTAATTCAGTAAGATGTTTTGGGATCTGATTCCCCACCTCCACCACCATCAGCAGATCGACCACTCTGGTAGTTGTTTTTACAATTCAGACTTGGTTTTCAAATACAACTCGTGATAATACTTAATTTCCCAATAATATTAACGTTAAGATAAATTCTGCATTGCTTTTACTTTTGAATGTATACACCACTTTTTTTTGGTGGGGGGGGGCTGTTTTTAACTTTAACTTAACTGATGGTACTGCTACTTTTACTTTATCCTCTTGCTATCTCCCAAGAGGCCAAAACTGGTCCAGGAACAATGTTTATAAATCACAGTGGTGTTGTATTTGTGTTGTCCTCACTGGTTTCAACTGAAAATCAGGGAACAAAAAAACCCCATTCAGGTGGTTTAGGATATATCGTCTTTCCAAGACTTGGCAAATGTCCTCTTACTGGGCAAAGTGTAAATATCCATTCTTTAGAGGTGAAAAGGGGTTCCCTTAGTAACACAAATCTGAACAACAGACTGTCTATTTTACTGAAGACAGAAACTGTAAATTCCTGTCTTTACTACACGGCCAACTTCCTAGGAGTCTACTCCCTTGAATTCTTGAACGTTTTGTCATTAGAGGTTACTAAGAAGTAGCTTATAGTTCCAGTTTGGGTTACAATGTGTCTGTACTCTGAGTTCCAGGAAAGGAGGAGGAGCTGCATGAACAAAGCTTTGTCTTTTTGGTACTTAAACCCTGTAATACCAAGTGTGTCACATTTCATGCACAAGTTTTTCAGACCTCGATGTCATCAGTGGGATTTTTTTTTTTCAAACCCTAAGTCACTCATGTTTTTGAGCTAAGCTGTGAACAATACAATTTAGACATTATATGCAAGTTGGGTTTCTTTTTTCATTTGTCACAAGGTTCAATAAGGTTCAAATAAGCACTCCCACTTCAAAAGGTTCAAATTTCCTGGCAATTGAAGACTCATTATCCATTATCCATTATTAGTGGGAGCTTTAAAAAATTCTGCATACAATCAAGTCCGTTTCTCTTCACATGCAACTTACACGATATATATGACAAACTTGGTGGTATTCATGCAAAACATTTATTTGTGAAAAATACACATTTAATCTAAAAATAGCATTGACATTCATTCAGTAACCTAAAATATACTTAAAAAAAGAATCAAGATATGATCAAGACATGTATGAAACCTATTAAATGTAGTAAAATGCGATCTGTTTTTTTCGTTTTTTTTAACTGCCTTCAGCTTTCAGAATTGTTCGAGTACACTGCTGTGCCTTTTTATTAGCATTGTAGCTGAGACACTCACACATAGTCAACATTTGAAGATATGCTTCTTACAGGTGTGAATTTGGCAGGTATGTAGGGTCTGCCACCAACTTTTGGGGGACAGCTGCTGCAGAGAAGACCACCTCCCATCAGCAGCACCGCAGCAGAGCACCAGCCTATGTAAAGTGAAGATCCAAGCTCCCTTCTTTGAGCCTCAACCACTAGGGGGTTATAAAAGTCGCTGATTACTGCATGAGCTGACCACGATACAGGAATCAAGATCAGCAAGGCAGTTATTATGAATATCACTCCAGCCACGATGCAGGTTTTAGCTTTGGCCACGTCATCCTCCATGCAGTTGGTGCATTTTCCTCCGATCACAGCCATGAGGATGCCGAATATCCCAACAATCACAGAGATGATCACCATGGCCCTGGCAGTCTGCAGGTCCTGAGGCAGAGCCAGCATGGAGTCGTACATCTTACACTGCATTTGCCCCGTGCTCTGGACCACACAGCTCATCCACAAGCCTTCCCAGATCACCTGGGCTGTGACGATATTTGCCCCCACGAAAGCGGTGACTCTCCACATGGGCAAACTGCAGGTGATGATGGCGCCCAGCCAACCAAAGAAGGCCAGTAAAACACCCAAGATCTGGAGGCCCTGAGAAGCCATGAAAATGCTGCTGCAACAGATTTCTACGCAAAATTCAAGAAATAAGAAAAAGAAAAAGTTGGCACCACAAAAAATTTTACCACACTCCAGTCTTGTATGTGCTGCAGATACACCTGTCTGATGATGGATTTGCTGTGGTCTAATGTTCCTGTGCCTAGCTGTGAGAAGATAGATACTTCCTGCTGTGTTTCAGGGTGGAGTTTCTGTGTCCTCAGACAAAGGGGGAAACTGGAGACCTGATATCCACAGACCTTATTCTCTAGCTTCCTTCATTGTCCCCACACAAACAAGCTTTATTCAGTCGTTCAAGACTTCAACAGTGGGAACAACAGTGCTATCAGATCCTCAGGTGTCCTCACACAAACACGCACACTCTCTCTCACACATACACACACACCTACAAACATGCATGCACACAAAGGTAAGGTCAGTCTCTGAGCAAAAAAAAACTCATACCAGAAGCTTCTTCAGTTCTGGGGTCCAATGGTGGCCCTGTGGGTGTGTCCCCCCAAAGAGGGACAATGGAGCCCCTGATGATCCTCTACCTAATCACATGAGTCAAGGTGTGAAAGTGGGTGTAGGTCACAATCAGCAAGGTTTTGGGAGAGCTAATTGTGAAAGCTGGCCGCACCGTATCATGTGATTTCCTGAGGTCAGATGGCTCAGGATGTGAGTTGGCGTTAAGGCGTCTGGGAAGGGATCTCAAAACTGGATTATAGATGGCAGACAGTTGGTGTCGAAAACCACCGCCTCTGTTCAAAGATGATCGCTCACAGTGAACAATGATGGCTTCTTTCACTCCTCTTTCAAACCATCTGTTCTCTCTGTCCAGAATGTGAACATTGACATCATCTAAGGAGTGACCTTTGTCCTTTAGATGCAGATGGACCGCCGAGTCTTGTCCTGTGGAGGTGGCTTTTCTATGTCTTCAAGCAACTCCAGATGCTTTTCTTTCCAAGCTCCTTAGACTACGATGACCTGGATGACTGAAAACCTTCACACACCTTCACAGACATAAATTAAGAGCTGACTGTAGCTCAGGTTGTAGAGCAGGTCAGCTACTAACCAGATGGCTGGTGGTTCAGTCCCAGGCTCCTCTAGTCTGCATGCCAAATATCCTTGGGCAAGATACATCCATCGGAGTGTGAATGTCTATGAATGTTATGTAGTAAACACTTACAAAATGTGATTGGCTGAATGAATTAGTTGTGTAAAGTGCTTTGAGTGCTCAGATAGAGAAGAAAAGCACTATATAAGAACCGTGGATTGTTTTACACTCCAGAAATGTTTGCTTACTACAAGACTTTGTTTCTTTTTAAATATTTACTCCCCTAACAAATAAAACTTGGTCCTGTGACTACATTCAAAGTCCAAATACCTTTGTTGTAGGTTCACAGTTTAACCAGACAAGCCGGTTTCCAGCCAGTATTATTCTTGCCACACCCAAACCTGTTCAACCAGAAAGTCAGAGAATGGTTGCTTCTCAGATACTGTGACGTTTATTTTTTAAGCATCCTTGTTTTGATTATGCCGTGGTACATAATGAACATGTATGTTGCAATTAATATACATTAAAAATGTGTCAAACGCACAATAGAAACAGTATGGATACTGTAAATACACTGTTTTTAATGTTAGAATTTCCTTTAAATGTGATTATGGGTGACCACTGAATGAATCCTGTTGAACACAAACATTGAGCGGAAACAAAAAAACAGTAACACATATTCTCATATTTGTAAACAGTAAAAATATTTATTTACAGTAGAAGTGGTGCATTGAGAATTTTGTATATATAGTTCTGAAAAACAATCTACAAGCACAGGAGCAAAAGTGAACATTTTAAAAAGATACATAAGCATATGGATATACTAGACTTGTTAGTACTTACACAACATAGTACTTTTGACACAAACACACACACACAGCTGTGGACTATGTAGACTTGGGTGTGGTTCCTATCTTGGTGTTAACATCATCTCAAAACACTCCAACAGTCTCATGAGGAGTCACGTTTCATCAAGTAACCTGAATTACCAACACACATAACCCATAAACTCTGCTGCATCTGTCCCAGTAAATATTTCAGACGTAGCCTTTCCCAGATATTGGTGCTGAGGCATCAGACCTAGTGGCAGCTGTGTACCTTGCACTGTGGGGTACTTTTTCTTTTTTGGGGCAGCTGGCACAGAGTAATCCCCCTCCGATAAGCATCAAAGCAGAAGCACCCCATCCGATATACAGCGAGGCACCCATCTCTCTCTTCTGGGCCGCGTTCAGAAGAGGGCTGTAGAACTCCTGGATAATAGTGTTGGCTGTCCAGCAGACAGGGACAAGGCAGAGGACCGCAGCAATGATGAACATAACCCCAGCTGCGACAGCCACTTTATCTTTTTGCTGTTGATCCTCCACACAGTTGGTGCATCTTCCTCCAGCTACAGCAAGCAGAATAGCCATGACGCCTACCACAATGGAAATGATAGTCAGGGCCCGAGCACCCTGGAGGTCTCCAGTGAGGGCGAGCATGGAGTCGTAGACCTTGCATTGCATCTGGCCTGTGCTCTGGACCACACAGCTCATCCAGATACCTTCCCAGATGACCTGTGAGGTGACAATGTTGCTGCCAATAAAAGCAGTGACCCTCCACATGGGAACAGCGCACACAACAATGACTCCAATCCAGCCAAGGATCCCCAAGGCTGCACCCAGCATTTGGAAGCCAGCAGACACCATTTTGGTCAGATATGTTCTTCAAGCTGCTTCAAATTAAAGTCCTTTCTCTTTTCAGAGGTTGCTGATAAAGCTCTGAGTGCGTATCGACGTTCTCACTGTGGAGTGATACAGGCTGTTGAATATTTGTTTCTTCCTTGCGATGAAGTCGAGTTTTCTGCCGGTCAGACGAGTCTGCTGAATGGGTGAGGAGTGGAGCAGGTACAAATGCCTGATGGAGGAGGGGCAATGGAGAAACAGCAAACCGTCATCAGCACCTGCTCTTCAGGTCCACTCCCTAAATATAAAGTTTCACCTGAACAGGTGAGCAGGTGAGCAGGTGGGTGGAGTGATGTCCTGAATGTCTGGTGACTCAGTCAGTCTGAAATGACAACACCTCTGACCAAAACTTCCGACTAACCAAAAATGGTCATGTGCTCAGTGTTTTTGTTGTGTTACACCTGCGCTGATAATGGATGGCATCCCGCTGGAGTTCTCTCTCAAGTAAATGCACATAAATGGCCTTGCAAAAGACTCTCTGGAGGAACTGTATCTTTCACTTTACAGCATGTCAGGAGGTTGAGGGGGGTGGACACAGCTCAGGACTGAGGGGAATATTATTCTTTCACTTAAAGTTAATTTGAATACTTTAATTGGTTTTAATATTAAAAGTGAAGTTAAGAGTACAATCATTTGCTTGATTAGGCTTTGACTATGTCCCTAAAAACAATAATGATCAGTTTTAATCTGATATGAGTATTAATAATCTTTGACAGCAAATTATCTTCATCTGCTTTTCCCAAAGTCCCAAAGAGAGAGTGATATATTTCCTTATAATTAGTTTTTTAAGAAATCATAAATAACACAAACAGTTTTTTATAAAATGCCAATACTATCCAGTCATATGCAAGTTGGAGTAACAAGTAATATCACAAACTGCCCACCTCCTATTACCAGTTTTAATTTGCTTTTTATATAAAAGAATATATTTATATAAATATCTACTTGTACATACTTGAGAGTAAATTTATACACAATTTCTCTTACTACTATGGCCCACCTGCAGTACCTTCGCAGCCCACCAGGGGGCCCCAGCCCACACTTCGGTAATCCCTGACCTATTTTATTAGATAACTGCATCCAGTGTAAAATACAAAGGTTCAGATTTAAGTAAATTAAGAACAGTAAAATAATTAAATCATAAATTGAAATGAAAAGAACAAAGTACACCTAACTGTTTGCTCTACATTTGTGTTTGACGTCGAATGAAAAAGTAGCAGAAATAACATGTAAGCGTAGTAGTGTAAATCTTTCAAGCACTTACTCTTCACCAAATTCATGAATTACTGCTGTGTGGGTTTTTTTCAAAGAAGTGCACGTAGTGTAGGGTGTCACTTACAGTCAGCATGAAGGAAAACAGGAGATGAACCAGCTCCGGATGTCACTCTTCCACTCTGTTTGCTTTACAAATTGTGAGATTGTTGCCTCTCCCAGTAGCTCAATACTGACGAACTTATATTATCCTATAACATTCTTGTGTGTGATGTGTGATATCTAATCAACCTATGCTTCCATATACACTTCACAAGACACACCTGTTGTCCTGTCACTTCTGTTTTCTCAAACTGTTCCTGGAGAAAGAAAAAATAATATACAATCTTATTTCTGAACATGTTTGGACACTGTCTAAAATGTCAATAAAACAGATAATGTGATTTGCAAATCTCCCAAACTCCTATTTTATTCTCTATAGAACATGGAAAACATGTCAAAAGGAAAATAGGGTCATCCAGCTTGTCAACAGCTCTCAGTGTAAAAGCCAGCATCTCTGAAGGTATGGCAGTGCCTTTGGATATAGTAGCTTCCAGGTGGCATCTTTTTCAGAAAAGGCCTTGCATATTTAACAAAGACAATTCTAAAACACATATTGCATCTATTACAGCAAAATGGCTTCATAGTAGAAGAGTTTTGAACTGACCTGCCTGCAGTCCAGACTTTTTACCAGTTAAAAAGATCCAGAATGAATGAGCGGTTAGTGGATGGTTCCCATCTTTGTCTCCCAAAAAGTTCAGCAGGTGCTTACCTTATTTCCAGATGTTTACACACTGCTGTTAAAAGAAGAGGCAATGCTACAAAGTGAGATATGTTGCTTCAAAGTCAGCAAATATTTTAAAATAGTGCATTTCCTTAAACAACTGATATGTTTTTCATGTTCTATTGGGGGTTTATGAGATTTACAAATCATTTCAATCTGTTTTTATTTACATTTTACACAGCGTCCAAACTTTATTTTTCAAATAAATATGTGATTTATGAAGTGGGAAAAATATTAAGAAGGCGTGCAAACTGCAGGCTGAGGTTGGAGGTGAATGAAGCTCTGTGAGTGTTCTGAAGCTCAGACTAAA